GATCACCAGGGAAAATTTCCAAGTACCTGAAAGAAAAAGAAAAATTAAAATTTAAGTTATTTCTAAAAAAGGTATTTACTCAGATATATCAAATATGAGATGTAACAATAGTTTGATAAAAGACATAGAAATGTCATATAAAGTAAGGGATACGAGCGTACGTACAAGTCGCCAAATGAATCTCATGTTTGATTAAATTTTCTAATAATATATTTTATTTTGTATTTAAAACAGGTCACATTTATGTAAGATTAATTTTAAGTTAATTTAAAGAGAGTAAATATCTTAAAGAAGTGCTTATTTAGAATCTCCGAGTTAAGTAATATATATATCATAGCTCAAACAGCTGATCGAGGTAAAACTCGATATAATTTCGTAAGTGGAATTTTCCAAGTAAAATAAAGGGGAGATTCTAAGTAGGCACGGCACTGAGTCCCTTCCTGCCAAAGATGGAGGAGATCCGACCGAGTGAAAGGACGAATTTTGTGATTGGTCGGAGACAGTTGGAGGGGATGAGGATGCCAAGGTGGCCGACTCCCTCGAGAAGAAGGAACACGCCACCAGTCGCTCTTGGCCGTCCATCTTGCACGGACGTGCACGCGCGTGTCGTCGCGTGATATTGCGTTATCTCGACGTAATACGTTATAGAGGACTCCGCGGACGCGCGTTACACGTTAAATAATTTAATTAACAATAATTAAAGATCCCTATATAATAATTATTCCTCGATTTATTTTATTTTAAGAGAAATAGCGTCCGGAAAAGTGCGTCGCGTATCTACGCGTTCCGAGTGCGCGAAACAATGTACATTTCATTTGATTGATTAAATAACATTATTATTAATCGTATGTGTTAATCGAATTATTGCGGAAATCCCAGCCAAAGTTCCAACAGGGTGAGAGAGGATCCCAGACGCTACATCGCAGAGGACATCCACCGCTGGCGACGGAACGGCTCTTCCTTCTTTGTTGGAAGGTCAAACGAAGTGGCGACCGTATTCTTTATAGAATATACAAGTAGTAAGCAAATTGAACGTAATAACACACTCAGGCCGGTCACAATCGCTTGTCAAAGACAGTGCAAAAGACGAATTAGTGCAATTCCAAAAAACAGCTTTAGAAGTAGAAATACATATGAAAAAAGAAACGAATGATACGCAAAAAGAAATCTTAGAAACAGAATTAGAAATAACCAAAGAAAAATTAAAACTTGTACAATTAGATGTATAACTTAAAGAATTAAAAATTCAATTGAAAAGGCAACAAGTTCTGAATCTACGAGTATTATGAACTGTTATTAATTGTCACAACTGTTATAAACTGTTTCTAAGAAAAGCATAAATTTACATAAAGTTAACATTAAAAGTATAATATATAAAAATGTTTTTAAACAAAATATTTGTTTATTTATGCAAGGTATGAGTACAAATTACACAGTACAAATTATATTACTAAGCCAATATGTATGTTACAACAGTTGAAATAAATATTTTATAATGTTGCGGAATTCGTTTCGATTCCTCAGCGACTCGTGTCGCGTACGTATGCGTACGCTAATCCTATCTCACTGAATGACTCACGAAAAGGTGTAAAAACAGTTTATTGCTGAACGTTACAATTTGCTATATAACTTGAGACGACAGGAAGTAACGAGAACACGAAAGTAAGTGTAAGTAAGTAGGAAGGGGCACAAGCCCGGTAACGCATACATAACTAAAAATACTAGATCATAGCGCTGTGTGTCGCCATCAAGCTAGTAACTTAGCAATCTTCACGCGCGGCAGACCGAGGAACTACCACGCAACGCACATGGCGGGAATTTAACAAACAGACGCAACATATACCGCCGCCCTTGAAAGCATCGGCTTTCAATAACTAAACAAAGAGTCTTAATACATGCGCGCGGTATAAAGATTTATTACATACAATATAAGACTTCAAAACAAAACAAAACAAAAAATTTATAATCTTTATACTTATTGCGGAATGGGCAAAATACATATCTTTGTGACGGGACGTTTATACAGTCCTTTAGAAGTTCGGACGGTTACAACGCGAGTAATTCCATCCTGACCAGAATGAACGCTTTCTACGCGTGCTAGATTCCAGCATAGGGGTGGTAAATTGTCTTCCCGTAATATTACCATTTGACCAACCACAATATGATCGCCAGGGGTATTCCACTTTACTCGCGATTGACAATTATGTAAATATTCGTTGACCCAACGACGCCAAAAATGTTGCTTCAATTGCTCAACTCGTTGCCACCGCGACAACCTGTTTGATTGAATATTTTCCAAACTAGGCTCCGGATAGGCCATAATCGGGCATCCGATTGTGAAATGTCCTGGCGTAAGAGCGTTAAGATCGTTGGGATCACTCGAAAGCGGAGTAAGTGGTCTAGAATTTAATATGGCTTCGACCTGGACCATCAAAGTAAATAACTCATCATATTTCAATGCTGCTTCACCAGCTATGCGTTTTAAGTGAAACTTAGCGCTTTTGACAGCCGCCTCCCAAATGCCACCCATATACGGAGCTCTAGGTGGAATAAAGTACCACTTTATTTTTTCAACTGCCATCATATCATTGATTCTTTGCTTGATACTATCATCATTAAATAATTTATACAACTCATTAAGTTCATGTTTTGCCCCAACAAAATTCAAACCGTTATCCGAATACATTTCTACGGGACGCCCTCTTCTGGAAATAAATCGCTTTAATACATTTAAAAATGTTTCCGCGGAAAGGTCTGCCGCAAGTTCTATGTGTACCGCTTTTGAAGACAGACATACAAACACTGCTATATAACATTTTATTGTTTTAGTATTTTTTCGTTGACCTTCCTTATACCAATAAGGTCCTGCGTAATCTACGCCGCATTTTTCAAACGCATATTTAACCGCATTTACTCGTATCTCCGGTAAATCGGCCATTACAGGTGTATTTGATTTGGGGACATTGCGAAAACATGTCACGCATTTATTTATTATACTACGAATAATACTTCGAGCAGATGTCGGCCAATATCTTTGTCGAATCGCTGACAGGGTAGCTTGTGCTCCAGCATGGAAGTGACGCACGTGTTCATGTAGAATAATCATTTTTGTGAAAGGATGTTTACCGGGCAACAGAATCGGGTGTTTATGTTCAAACGATACATTGGCGTGACGCAATCGGCCACCAACTCTTAAAATACCTTGCTTGTCGATAAACGGATTTAATTTTAAAATGTTGCTGTTTCTATTTACATGATTGAAGCGTTTAATGGAATGCAACTCCGTCCTGAATGAACTACGTTGTACCAATCTTACAAGGGTTAGTCTCGATTTCTCCAATTCATCAGTCGATAATGGCGGAACTAATATACTCTTATTGCCTGAATGTGACTCATGCAGCTTGTGCATTCTAGAATTTCGTATAAATCTCTGGCAATAACGCGCACAATGCGTGACAACTTCGAAAATCGCTCAAAAATATCAGATTGCTGTTCAACTTCTGTTTCAGCTATCAAAGCTGTAGCTCTTCCCTCGGGTAATTCCATATTTGATGCAGAAAAATTCTCAGAGGGCCAGTCGTCTTTGTCTAACTTTAACCAGGGCGGGCCAGTCCACCACATGTTTGATTTATGCAGCACGTCTGGCATGATGCCTCTAGAAAGTAAATCAGCAGGATTTTCTTGGCTGGGAACATGCTTCCAACTACCAATATTTGTAAGACGCTGAATTTCTGCAATGCGATTTGCAACGAATTGCGACCACTGACGACTGCATGATCGTATCCAACATGTTACAATACTCGAATCCGTCCATAGATGGACGCCATCGACCATAAACGGCAAGCACTTCAACACCTTTTGCGTCAATTGTGCCAATAACAATGCGCCACACAGTTCGAGACGAAGAATTGACAACGTTTTAAGAGGCGCCACTCTGGATTTGGAGCATAATAAATGAACCTCAACGTGACCATCATCAGAAATGGATCGTAGATAAATACATGCGCCATAAGCCTTTTCACTTGCATCCGCAAAACCATGAATTTCCTTGAATTGTATTGTATTAGATGTGATCACCTTACGGGTTATTTTGATATTACCAAGAACTTGTAACTTACGCTCATATTCTCTCCAAAGTGTATGCAACTCGTTCGAAATAGACTCATCCCAATCGACCTTAGCGCGCCATAACTCTTGCATTATAATTTTGGCAATTACCATCGACGGTCCTAACAATCCCAAAGGATCAAACATTAAAGCTATTCGAGATAATATGCTACGCTTAGTAGGCCTTTCCAACGGAGGATGCTGCCCAATACTTTCAAATTTGAAAACATCTGCTTCACAATTCCAAACTACACCTAATGCCCTAGTCTCAATATTACGATCCCCTACTAAAATGAATTTCTTTTTGTGAGGACCTTGTGAATCCTGAAGAGCGGCATGATTAGATGACCACTTCACTAAATCGAAACCTCCTTTTGCGAGTAATTCGACTGTTTGCGTTTTTATTTCCAATGCGTCCGACAGTGTGGATGCGCCTGTAAGTAAATCGTCTACATAAAAATCACGTAGTATTATCTTTGAGCCAATAGGGAACAAATTCATTTCATCCTCAGCGAGCTTACGTATGGTCCTGATGGCAAGAAATGAGGCTGGAGCAGTACCATATGTAAGAGTAAGCAATTCGTAAATCCCTAACTCATTTTGCGGAGAGTCACGCCAAAGAATACGTTGTAAAGATCTTTGAGAATCATGTAAAAGTATCTGCCGATACATCTTAGTTATATCGGCGGTCATCGCATATGGAAATGTGCGAAAGCGAAGCAAAATCGAAAATAAATCCTCTTGAATAGTTGGCCCAACTAACAATGAATCGTTCAATGACAGTCCTGATGTGCTTTTGCATGATGCGTCAAAGACTACTCTCAACTTCGTTGTAATGCTAGTTTCTTTAAAAACCGGGTGATGAGGCATGTAATAGGCTAGTTCGTGACCTGCCGAAGGTTTTATTTGGCGCATGTGATTCAAGTCGATATATTCTTGCATAAATTCTCTGTATCGCGCATATAAATCAGGTTGCAATAACAAACGCCTTTCCAAACTGAGAAAACGACGTTTCGCGATTTCTTGTGTCTCGCCCAATTGCTGTATTTTGTCATTGTTCGTAGGTAGCTTTACTATGAAACGGCCTTCTGTATTGCGAGAAACATTTGCCTGAAAATGCATTTCGCACTGTTGTTCATCAGGAGTGTATTGAACCTCATTGCAGGAAACATCATGCTCGATTTCCCAAAATCTGGAAAGAGATTTGTCTAATTCATTAACCGAAGTAATATGACATGAAGCAATCGCGACATTGCTTAAGTGTCCTTGTAGTGTACCAGAAATTACCTATCCTAACTTAGTTTTTTGTAGGGTGGGATGCGCCTTGCACGATTTGATTTGGCCCACGCAAATGAGCTGCCAAAACATTTGAGCCCCTATAAGCAAATCAATTTCGCTAGGAATGTTGAAATTAGGATCAGCAAGGATGACATTCGATGGAATTCTAAATTCCGATATCGGACAAAGTTCCTGCGGCAAGTTCTGTGTAATCTTAGGAAGCACTATACAATCAAGCTGATTAGTGTACTTGTTTGTTCGAGACCGAAAACTGACGTTCACTATTTCCTTGGACTCGAATGTTCCCTCCGCTACTCCAGATATCGACATGTTTAATGCATGACGGTTAAGTCGTAATTTATTTACTAGCTTTTGTGTAATAAAGTTTAATTGCGAACCACTATCTAATAATACTCTGCAACTATGAGGCTGACCTTGACGGTCGTATACGTTAACTATAGCGGTTGAGAGGAAAACCTTGGATGCACTATTAATTTGAGTACACTGAGTGACTACCGGAGGTGGAGACTCTGATGCGGATGCGTTGGCTAATTTAGGAGGGCATGAAGATTGACTCTCAGTACTCGATGCGCTAGTCTTGTTCGAATCAAAGTGCAATAACGTATTGTGTGCTTTCCCACACTTTTTACAAGATCCAGCCATGCAATCCTTTGCCTGATGCCCCTTAGCCCTCAGACAATTGATGCATAGGTGGGCGGTCTTTACAATTTCGAAACGTTTCTCTGCCGGCAATTTACGAAATGAGTCATTGAAATAAGAAATGATTATTTTTGCAATGAATACAAACCTGACTCGAAGTGCTTACATGTGAACTCGGATTCTTGGCTCTCTGAGAACTGTTCGCCACTTCTGAGCTCGATCGAATTGATGATTTGCCAAAAGTTGCTTCTAGAGCTTCACATCGTTGTGCTAAAAATTCGGTAAGCTCCTTGAACGTGGGTATCTGATTGTCTGTACGGCTGGTCTGCCATTCTTTGATCGTAGAAGAGTCAAGCTTAGATATTACCAAGTGGATCATCATGTCGTCCCAAGTATCTACTGGCCTTTGAAGGGCCCTAAGCGCTCTGAAATGTTTGAGTAAGCTGTCAAGCAAATTTCGCAATGCAGTATAATTTTCCTTATGAATTGGAGGAACATGGCCTTAACATGCGTTTGTACTATTCGTTTCTTATTGTCGAAACGCTCATTGAGTAATTTCCATGCTTCTAAATAGTTTTCGGCTGTGATATCAAAGGATTTAATAATTTCGGCTGCCTTATCTTTTAATGAAGATCGTAAGTAATGAAATTTTTGCGTTGCTGATAGACTCGCGTTAGCATGAATCAGTTTATCGAACGAATCATGAAATGTACACCAGTCTTCATAAGCACCCGAAAATATAGGCAATTGAATTCTCGGCAACTTTATTTGTGACTCTGTGTTATTTTGACGTGTAACTTGATTACTACTACTAACCGATTGAGGAATAACTTGCGCTTGCTCGAATCGACTGATCCGCAGATCGTATAACGCCGTGAGTTGAAAATATGCTTCCTCAAACCGAGCACGCTCCACTGCATGGGCCGATGTTACATTCGAATCGTCTGATTCTGAATCTAAGCATTCAATGTACGATTGCACTTCGTCATACTGTCGGAATAAGTCTGACAGTTTTTTCTTACGTTCTACTAATTCGAATTTCGGAGCGTGTTCGGATTGGGGGGACTCTATGTAAGTACGCAATCTTGTGGCAGAAGCCTTTATAAATCTTCGCCTCGTTTTCGCTTCGGCTTCCGTTTGTATCATTTTAATATGTTATAGTAAATAATCAAATCTGAACTTACGGGTAGCTGATAGCTCAAGATAATATTGAACGAATCTTTATATGTGTTACTTAATGTTCTAATAAGCGATGAATTCCGTTAAACGTTGATAGGATGATCGATGCTTGTTGTGGTTCCAAAATTTGCCAATGCTCTCTGTTTCGTTTCCTGCTTGCTGCTACTTGACCCCGTCTGAGTGAAACGGCCCGAATGCGGAATATCCAAAATGGCTGCGTCTTTGTAGAATATGGTTGGCGTACCGTACAACGCTTGCCCAATATGTCGATGCGTGGTTTAGCCACCTTGTTGCTGGCTAGTGAAGTATGCTTATCTCGAAACCACGATTGTTGCTCACGTTTCCGAGTATACTACTCGGATGTTATGAATTTTCGTGCAATTGTGTATTTGCCACGAAATACAAGTTAATGCCGAATACGGTTGATGATATCACTCTCGAATGTTCGAGAGCATCCGGCTCGAAGGACTAAGAAATGTTGCGAAATTCGTTTCGATTCCTCGGCGACTCGTGTCGCGTACGTATGCGTACGCTAATTCTATCTCACTGAATGACTCACGAAAAGGTGTAAAAACAGTTTATTGCTGAACGTTACAATTTGCTATATAACTTGAGACGACAGGAAGTAACGAGAGCACGAAAGTAAGTGTAAGTAAGTAGGAAGGGGCACAAGCCCGGTAACGCATACATAACTAAAAATACTAGATCATAGCGCTGTGTGTCGCCATCACGCTAGTAACTTAGCAATCTTCACGCGCGGCAGACCGAGGAACTACCACGCAACGCACATGGCGGGAATTTAACAAACAGACGCAACATATATTATATTATACTAATACTTCAATTTATTTTAATACATAACATTTTATATTATTTCAAGACTGAAGTCTCAAGTTTTATATTATTGAATTAGAAATTGTGAAATATGAACAAAAAAAATCACATTGTAAATTACGGCAATAATCTGAAAAATTAAAAATAACAGATAATAAAAAAGGAGTGAATTTTTTATTTTAATATATATATATGTATGTACATATTTCTTAACAAAATTAAATGATCACTTGTTCTACCATCTAGGCAAATTTCAAGATAGGATAATTTTGTTAAAAAACCATTTTACAGCTAGTACATATATGTCAACTTTTATAATTTTGTAGTTAATTACAAATTGTAAAAGCATAATAAATCTTATCTAACTTTAAATTATTTTAAATTTAAATTCTAATATTAATATTCATATCCCGTGACGAGTTCGAATCATTCACATTGTTCTTCATTAATGTTGTAACTTTTTATAAATATTACAAACCTAAAATATGTGTCAATTAAAAGTCTTCTTGCAATGTCGGTTCTAGCATTATCTGGTATCACTATTAGATCACGATTTTCTAATGCATCGATTAATTGTACAATGTCCAAATCTATTGGTGGTCCAGGATTATTCATTTGACGAGCGATATTGTGTAATACTGCAGTTGCTATCACAATGCTTGAGCAGTAGCTATAGACACTCTCATACCTATTGCTAATATAGGAAATCTGCGTTTCCACACATCAAAAGTACATTCAATTTTGTTTCTAGTACGTATTTGTAACTCGTTGTATAATTCTTCAGCACGATTATGTGTTTGCAATAAAGGAGTCATTAAAAATTTAACACAGGGATATCTATTATCTCCTAATAAAATTCCATCTTGCATTTCGCCCTGGATGAATCTAACAAACGACTCGCATCAAAAATTGTAGCATCATGAGTTGAGCCTGGCCATCGTGCTACTATATCTTGAAATTCCATATTACTATTACATACTGCTTGCACATTAATACTGAAGAAACCCTTTCTATTTCGGAAATTAACAGTTTATTTAATGTACCTGGTGATTGAATTTTTACATGAGTACAATCTATTGCACCAATTACTCGTAGAAATTTACTGATGTTATAAAATCCTTGACGTACGTATGTTGTATCTTGGAAAACGTATGTAACGACGGTGTTCAGAAGCTAAAGCTATCGTTACTTTTTTAATAATTCTGCATGCTGTGGATGTATGAATTCCTGCGAAATCAGCAACAGCAATTTGAAAAGCTGTTGCATAAAAACGTAATGTCAATAATAACTGATGGATTGGCATTATTGCATTATTCCTGGAAAAATAGGAACAATTTTATAAGAACATTTCTATTCCAAGATTGATAAAAGAATTTATTTTATTTTATTAATAAACTATTTTATTTTATTAATTATGATTACTTCAATGTTTTTGTTTTTATCTTATCACAAATAAGATCATATTCTAAGAACTGTTTCTTTACATAACCTAAACCGTGTAATAAATTCGCGTTCATCATACGTGTGTGAAGTTAGCCCCGCACTTTTCGAATTTTGAATTTTTTTTATTGTGCTGTGTTGTGCTACGTTTGTGCCATGTTGTGCCGCAAACCGCAACTCAATAACATGAACCGTTTTAAAAAAAAAAAAAATTTTTTTGCTAGCCCCGCACTTTTCGAATTTTGGATTTTTTTTATTGTGCTGTGTTGTGCTACGTTTGTGCCACATTGTGCCGCAAACCGCAACTCAATAACATGAACCGTTTTCCAAAAAAAAATTCCATGCTGGCCTTAGGAATTTTTAGAAACGCGAAACTGAAAACCCCTGTATCTCGCGAACGGTACAAGATAATCGAATTCTGCGAGTTGTGCCGAGTTGTGCTACTCAAAATCTATGCGAAACGTTCATAAAAGGTCCGGAATGGCAGAAGGGACGACGGAAATGGTTAAAAACGTGGTGGGGGGAAACAAAAAATTTGATATTTTTGAATTTTTTTCAGTTGTGCCGAATTGTGCTACGACAGTACAATAACTTTTCCTCATGGCAAAATTTCCTGAGATCAACGGATTTCGCAGTATCGACGAAGTTATGCGTCAGCCGTTAGAAATTTTTAGGATCGCGAAACTGAAAACCCCTGTATCTCGCGAACGGTGCAAGATAATCGAATTCTGCGAGCTGTGCCGAGTTGTGCTACTCAAAATGTACTAGATATGTTCATAAACAAAACAGAGATTAACTGAATGGTTCATAAAAATTTTTGAAAGTTTGTAATGAGATGGTGAATAAAAAGTTGAACTTTTTTAGATATACCGGCTTATCGATCACAACTTTTATATGGAGAATTGTCGTTAGACTGATAATTTTAGGAGCGTAGGTGTTAGGAAAACTAAAATCAGAAAATATTTCGCAATTATATACGCAATTTCCGAACTGTACTTCTGCAAATTGTCGAGTGATGTTACTCGAAATTAATAGAAGGTGGACGCGCGAGGAAAGTGCTAAGAAGTTAGGAGTGATTCAACTGAAAAAAAAGAGGAAGAGAGAGAGAGAGCGTGCGAGAAAGAGTAAAAATGCGTTTAGACTGTGTCGTATTGTCATTGGAGGTTGTACTTCTTATTTTCATTTTTACTTATAAATGAATTCTTAGTGCAAAAATGAAAATAACAGGTATCTCCAATGACTTGGAGCTTGATAAATGTTATCCAGGACGTGATTCTGAACAACATTCAAGATGTTTTAGCCATCGATCGGACACCTTGCGTAATGCTAATGCCGGCGGTATTGTAACTTTCAAGCCTTATAACTCGAAAAGTACTTAATGAAACATAGCTTTATCATATAGTGTTTTAGAAATCTCTTGACACCAGCTATTAGATTCTGTCATCAAAAATAGGGTGTTCCATTTAAAAAAATTAATTTGACCTAGACCTGTCCTTGGTGACGCCACTCAAGGTGATGTGATCAGAGAATAGATGTTTTTAAACCCTACAATTTTTGTTTGAAATATTTTTCTCAAAAATGCATATTTTCCGAAATATTCAGCCGGCCCGGGACTTTTGGCGGACCCTATATATGTATAAAGAGATATATTTTATTCATCTAAATGTTAATATACCGCTTTCTGCTTACACCCGGAACCAACGACGTGGACGTAGCGGTATTCTGGTTCCATTTTTCTTTTTTGTTTTTTGTTTTTTTTTGTTTTTTTTCACTTTTATAATTTTTGGTTTTTTTTAATTGTATAATTTTTTGTTTTTTTAATTTTATAATTTTTTTGTTTTTTTTTATTATAATTTTTTGAGTTCTTAATATATTCATATATTTTTGTGCATATATCTGAAATTAAAAAAAAAAGCTTATAAAGTAAACTTTATAGAAAATAATGAATTGTAATTTCCATCTTGTTTAAAAAAAAGTTTAAAAAAAGAAGATAGTAAAGATGCGCAACAAAAATAGTTTAAAAAAAGAAGATAGTAAAGATGCGCAACATTTGTTTCATCTATATTCAATGCACAACATCAGTTTTATCAAATGTAACATAAAGACATAAATATAATATATTTAAAAAGAATTAGATTCACATATATATATATATATATATGCGATATAGATTAATAAATGCGGTTTTATTTTATATTCTTTTGTACTGTTTCTTGTATTCTTCTTCAAATCGTCAAATTCTATCCATTGAAATCCTTGATAGGAATATCCTACGTAATGTCCGTTTTCAATATCACCATATCGTGCTACTGTGCCCGCTAAAAGAAATAAATTATCACTAATTTGAATTTTTGGCGGAAATTCTACAAGACTGTGTTCTTTCTCTATATCATCTATTGTGTCGCATTCTATAAATATTTGTTTTCCGTATTTTATGTTTATGTTCATACGTTGTTTACAGCAAACGGATCTATTATTTGGCATACCTTCTGATATGGCTGTGGCAAGCTCGCAATATCCGCCGTTTATTATAGTATTTACATTAATAGGAACTAATACAGATTGACGAATTATGATGTTGGAACATACAACGCAACTTTTTATTTCTGTGTAACTGGGATCGTCTTTGAAAATATATTGTGCGACATTTCCTATGCTTGAGAGACAATCTACAGTTACGTTATTTCTGTCGATCTGAGTTTTAAAATTATCAATACTCATTAATATTTTGGCTCTTAACTTATATGTATTTTTGCTGCAACCATTTTTTAAAAAGCATTTAATGAATTGCATCGCGTCAGTATCGGATGTTTCAACATTATTTTTATAATATTCGTTAATGCATCCGCATGCAATTATGGATGCGATACTGTCAACCCACATGTATTGGTAACAACTCTTTTTTGATCGATATTTAGAAAGGAACATAAGCTACCATTTTGCAGATTTGCGACTCCTATGCGCGCCTTTCCTGTATGATTTATATCCCAGTCCGGGCAGTTGTCCAAATATGTTTTTCTCTTATTTGTTTGTGTTGTATTTTTGTTTCTCCAATTATGTTCTAAATTTAAATCATTTGTATCGCTTGGCATAATGTCACTTTCCTCAGAAAAAAATTCTGTTTTAATATCTGTCGTAGAATTAGAGTCGATTTCAATTTTTTTTTATTGGTTAAGCATATTTGAAGAATTTAACGCATTTTCAGGCAGGTTAATTTCTTTAATAGTCGGAATAATGGATTCAATATCACTCGAACTAGTGATGACGTTATTTTTTGTGACTGATTCATTATTTTTTGCAGAAAGCAAAGAATCATGTGACGACATAGCCAGTAGTGATCTGCCTACAAATGATCTTAAATGAGTGGTTACAAATTTGTCTGCTCTCATTGGACGTTGTTTATTCTTTAATAAGACATGTTTAATATCTTTTATTTCAGATTCTACAGATGAGGAGCTAGCATTTATTTGCCCATATCCAAAAATGGGGATCATTACACCCGAATACAATGGGAAATAAGAAAGAAATGTTTTTAGTTTTTGGCTTAATTGTGGAACATAGTACGGATTTGCCATGTCACATTTTATTTTGGTTTCTGCTAACGTCTTATGACAATCTTCAACAAGATTACTAGCCCACAATGCAATATTGCAATTTGTTATTGTTTCCATGTCACAATCTTCATCTTGTATATTGTCATTATCCTTATCATTCAGTGACACCTCTTCAATGCCTTTTATATGATTACTATAAGGACACGAGCAGATTCCGATGGAGCATCATTTCCATCATTATCTTTCCCAATTTCCTCGCTAAGAGATAATAAAATAATACTTTTTGCTAATTCGACGAAATGAGAAAAGTTCGTCTGCTTTGTTAATAAAGCCATAGCGCGTATATAAAATTTCTTTACTTTCGGATTTAATTGTGAAAAGAATTTCCACTTAGATACCATATGCATATAGTGGCAAATATCAAGCCGTATAAAGCACTTTGGCTTTTCGACAGAATGTTCTGTTATTAGAGCGAAACAGGTTGTTAAATAATGTTTTAAATTGGAATATTGACCGAAAGCTTTCGCAATAGCATTAAGTAATGCCATATCGAAGTCACATACGACTGATCGAGGGATTGGAAAATTTGGTTTACGAATCGATCCAATACGCAAAAATTCATTTAACCAATATTGTATAGCATTGACATTTTGCACAGCGCTCAACATTTGAAATACTGGCATTTTATAATCAGAAACATCCGAGACTGCTTGATATAAATATATATGTGGCGATAGTTCCCCATTTGGTAATTGAACTTTTTTTATTAGTGAACCAGTTGCATCAATATAAAGTATATCAGGATATTCTAAGTAAACTATCATTTGTTCAGGTGTATAATAATGAACAAAAAATGGATCATAGCCTATACAATGGATGGAACCTGCATGATTTGTATATTTCATATTTTGAAGATTAGTATACACACACGATCCTTTGACTTTTAAATTAAGATCTTGTCTCTCTTGTTTTGCTTTTCTCAGAGTAGAAGCTTTATATAAATGCGGTGGTTCCGAATCATATAAATTCATTAATTTTGAAGCTTTTTCCCTTCGCCATGTTGTCGCCGACCACGTACCTGTTGCGAGAGATTGCGATATTTCTACTCTATTTTGTCCACTCAGGGGACGTTTCTTTGTATGTTTAATGTCTGCGTTATAATTTGTTACACGGCACTCCATTTGAACATCTGTGTTATCCTTAGGTATGTTAATAATTTTTCCAATAAAATTTGACTGACAATCTGGACATTTTGCATGGACAGTTGCATAAATTCCCGTTTCAGAAACTTTGCATCGTTTAAACATAAATGCACATGGCAACTTCGTTGTTTCGTATATTAGTTCGAAAATTGTATGTGTCCATCTGCGGCGCCGCAATGTATTATAATTTCTCTGTACTTTGCTATTTGATCTATAAATTACTGACTCGCATAAACGATCTAGTGTACTTTTTCTGAAATGACGTGGTTTTCTGGGTAACACAAATGTGCATAATGCTTGAAACAAGTCAATGAATTGTAAAAGTGTAAATCACGTTATTTTAGAAAAAGTACACCAGATCGTTTTTCAGGCATTTGACCTTCATTTTTGACCTTTCCAAGGTCGCAAAAACAATTTTTTCATAAGACAAGTTTGACGTAAAATTTTCCGCTCTTTCGAAATCCGCAGTCAAAAATAGGGTGTCCCATTTAAAAAAAACCATCGTGACCTTGAAATGACCTTCAAAATTGACCTCAAGGTCAAAACTAATGGTACAATTAAATGACCCCCTCTGTCCTGGTCAACTTTTATCTAAACCATTTTTTTGTAGATACCGTAATTTGGAAGATATTCGGGTCCATAGATTAAAATGACTCACCCTGTATATCGTGCCATGTTTTTAAAGGTATAGTGATATTAAATTCTATATCCTTTCCCGTGGTTGACAAATTAAACGATTCATCAGTACTAGATACATCAAGTTTAGTATTAGTAGGTTTATCTAAATTATGATAATTTAAAACTTTGTCATATAATCCATATCTATTTTGTAACAAAATAGTATAAATGTATTTCGGAGATATCTTTCCTTCTAATAAAATACTTAATTCCTTATATATAATAGATTTTGGACTAACTACTTTTCCATTTTTATCCAAAACGCATTTATATTTGGAACATAACAATATTTTTTCTAGTTTATTAACAGGTGCCATGCTCAACCCTATAACGTCGTGTACGAATAACGTCAGAAGTAGGATAACAATTGAAAGAGTATTTTATTTTATTTCATTAAAAAACAACAATTTGCTCTAGAAGTAAACAAAGAGCGTCTTATGCATTACCAATAAATTCATAAATCAGTGAAACGGTAGTGACTGTGTCGCTTACTATCACGCCGTTATTTTCTATCGTGACTGTAGCGAAGTAAGAATATGAGCACATTGGCTGGTGCGCTCTCGTAAGCCTAGTGACGCATAAACGAACGTGCAACGTCCGAGTGACTGTGGCGCAAGGGGCCAACTCCGGAGGGACGGTTTACGACATCGCGGCTAACGCCATCAGGCGACGGCCTGGGGCAACATTTGTGCGCTACAGTCACCCGGACGCTGCACAACTGAAAAAACTCAAAAATATCAAATTTTATGTTTCCCCCCATCACGTTTTTAACCATTTCCGTCGTCCCTTCTGCCATTCCGGACCTTTTATGAACGTTTCGCATAGATTTTGAGTAGCACAACTCGGCACAACTCGCAGAATTCGATTATCTTGCACCGTTCGCGAGATACAGGGGTTTTCAGTTTCGCGATCCTAAAAATTCCTAACGGCTGACGCATAACTTCGTCGATACCGCGAGATCCGTTGATCTCAGGAAATTTTGCCATGAGGAAAAGTTATTGTACTGTCGTAGCACAATTCGGCACAACTGAAAAAAATTCAAAAATATCAAATTTTTTGTTTCCCCCCACCACGTTTTTAACCATTTCCGTCGTCCCTTCTGCCATTCCGGACCTTTTATGAACGTTTCGCATAGATTTTGAGTAGCACAACTCGGCACAACTCGCAGATTATCTTGTATCGGCACAGCTTCGATTATCTTGTACCGTTCGCGAGATACAGGGGTTTTCAGTTTCGCGTTTCTAAAAATTCCTAAGGCCAGCATGGAATTTTTTTTTGGAAAACGGTTCATGTTATTGAGTTGCGGTTTGCGGCACAATGTGGCACAAACGTAGCACAAAAAAAATCCAAAATTCGAAAAGTGCGGGGCTAGCAAAAAAATTTTTTTTTTTTTTTAGAAAACGGTTTATGCTATGAATTACGGTTTGCGGCACAATGTGGCACAAACGTAGCACAACACAGCACAATAAAAAAAAATCCAAAATTCGAAAAGTGCGGGACCAACTTCACACACGTGTTCATCATATATATTTAAAAAATCAGGTCGTGGCCGAACAGTGTATGGTTTGCGAATTAAATTGAATATTTCATAATCGTCATTATCTTCATCATCATCTTCAAACAGTTCTTGATAAATATTTCGAATATCCATGTTCTCAAAAAATTACTAACAGCGTAATATTTTATAGCTTCTAGCAAACGACATCGGATCAGAATTTAAAATATCCTATTTACCTGCTAGATAGAAGCTTTACCCGTGTAGAAAATTGTTAGGGCTTAATAAAGGGCCTTATAAGTATACCCTAAAGTTCATGGGGGCCTATTAGGATAGATTACTTGGGCCCTACATGGCATGTAACAAATTGTTTACCAAGCCCCTATAAGGAAAAATTATCGGGACCCTATAAGGAAAAATTATCGGGGCCCTATAAGGAAAAATTATCAGAGCCCTATAAGGAAAAATTATCAGGGCTTTTATAAGGAAAAATTATCAGGGCCTTGTAAGGAAAAATTATCAGGGCTTTATAAGGAAAAATTATCAGGGCCTTGTAAGGAAAAATTATCAGGGCCTTGTAAGGAAAAATTATCAGGGCTTTATAAGGAAAAATTATCAGGGCCTTGTAAGGAAAAATTATCAGGGCTTTATAAGGAAAAATTATCAGGACCTTGTAAGGAAAAATTATCAGGGCCTTGTAAGGAAAAATTATCAGGGCTTTATAAGGAAAAATTATCAGGGCCTTGTAAGGAAAAATTATCAGGGCTTTATAAGGAAAAATTATCAGGGCCCTCTAAGGAAAAATTATCAGGACCCTCTAAGGAAAAATTATCAGGGCCTTATAAAGAAATATTATTAGGATAATTATTAGGAAATTTTTTTCTAAAAGGAATATATCTCGAAGAAAAATACTACTAGGACCTTTTCAAGGAAATTTTATCAAGCCCTAATATTTTTTATATGTTATATTATACCTCTCTATCTGTAATTAATATTTCTTTTTATAAAAGCCTTAAGGATGTTAATCTTTTACACTCCATTTGTAAAAAAAGATCATTTGGATAAAACGAAATAATGGAATCGCTTTAAAACAACTGTAAAAAAGGACGAAAGCTATCCTTATCCCTATAGTCACTAAATAACTGTAAAAGATGATAAAAGGTACATAAAGTTCGTTTCTTCAATGCGCATGCATATCCTATTTTTATTTTCACAATTATTTACTGTCAGGGAAATAACTTTCGTCTATTTTTACAATTTAAAGTGATCTCATCATTTTATTTTATTCAAATTGTTTGTTTTTATAAATGGTACATAATAAAAATTAATATCTCATTTCTCGCTTCTGACATCACAATTCAATATGGTTGTAGTGACTACTCAAGAGCCTTAGTAATCTGTTTGAGGAATTTATCTTTACATTTGTATATAAATCCCTTCACTTATATTGTTACCTCTTATGCAAATTTGTATAAATAAAGTTACTTAAAAATTAATTCAATATTACAGTTTATTACAGTTTTTTTACAGTTTACTCCTTTGTATTACATTCGTAAAATAAGAAAAAAGCAATCCTTACATAAATAAAGAATATAAAATAACAGTACATGTACACTGAGAATCATACTTGGTAATTGAATTGCGACAATATGATTGTGACGACTACTTAGAAGCCGTAAAATAAAAATTTAAGTAAACTTAAAGAAGACTGAAGACAAACTTCTTTATTTTCAGTGTGATAAATAAAGTAATAAGAAATAGAACTTTAAATAAAGTAAACAAATTATATCATAAGAAAACAAATATACGGATCTAAGAATCATAAGGCTTATAACATGTTTCGATAAGAACTTGCAATACAAGTACTTATAACTTTATGCAATATCTTTATAGAGCTTCTTATTAGCTGTAAAATTTACGAGAAGTTGTAGATATTTATTAATAATCGTACGTCTTGGTACATACGCATAAAATTGCAACACTAGTCATAAGTTCTTACAAGTTTTACGAGAACAAGTTACGATTCTTACAATTCTACTTAGAACTGATCCAATAGTTAGCAAAAATTAACTCTTATCCTCGTTTGTTATTTGAGTAGTTGTTAATCGACGTATTTGTCTGTAGCCGTCCCAATCCTTAGCGTTATTGATAATATATCCTAAAGCCTTATTAAAATCTTTTTCTGTTATAGACTTGTTATTTTCTTTTGTGCAATTGTTGCATATCACATCTGCAATACAAATTATGAATTTCAGTTATTTGATTGCATAAATATCAAATTGTCATAATTGTACTATAAAATTTAAATACCAAAAAGAGTTTTGTAAAAAGTCGTATCTCTCATAATATATTTATCCTTTGATTGACGAATCGCAGTACATTGCATAACTAATTCTCTGGTCATCAATCTTTTTAATATTGTTACTATCGTTTTATTCATATTTTGTTCTACTAAATATTTCAAACACGTCTTCTGTAAATTAAACATTATACTTTAGTAATATTTTATATACGTATATTAATCATTATCAAAAACAATTAGAATTCAAACTTACCAAATCAGAAAGACATTCTTTATCAACAGATAATTTCTTTTCAAAATCTTTCAATTCTGCTAAATTTGATAATTTAAGCGTTAAATTATGTTTATCAAAAAATTTGTCAACAGTCATCGAATTTGTTTTAATTCCCAAAATTTGTTCAATAGAATTTTTTAATTGTCTTATTTGGTCGCTTTGCATTGATATTTCGATAGTCAGAGACTTGATTGCTTTATGAAGCAATAGAGTTTCTAAAAATATACATATAATAGTAATAATAATGTTTAAATGGAATATATGCTTGCAATGTAAATTATCGTAATATAGAGAAAATAATTTATATGCCTTTTGAAAAATTAGCGTCTTGATAATTTTGTTCATCTTGTATAATTTTGTTGGGAATGATAGCTGTTTTATTTAATTCAGCATTAGTAAATTGCGAAAAATTGTCTGATGATAACTTATTAACAGTATCTTTTAGACATTCTGTAATTACCGATGTGCTCGCAATTTCTTTTGTGTTCTTTTTCATCTCAACTGTGTCCTTTTCATTTTTTTTCAAGGTCTTTTTTCTCATCAAAGATTTTTTTTCCATACTTTCGTCACTTGCTACATAAAGTTTAAAAATAAATATAAATTATATAAATTAATTTTTAAACAATAATAAATAATATAAATATACTTACAGGTCACAGAACTGTCATGTACAGAATTATGTAACCCTCCGATATCACTGTCATACATAATTTTTTCAACAGTGTCTTTATGTTTCATTTTTGTTTTTTCTTCAAAAAATTTTGTGATACGTATCGACTTTTCTTTAGCATGATCATCATTATCAGTAGAGTATGAATATGAATCTCTTTTGTGGATAATTTTATGCATTTTGTGTTTTGCTTCTTTTAATGTGTCTAGAAGAGAAAATGAAAAGCAGAAATAAAATAACAGATGAAATTTTAACTGAGATTTTGAAAGAAATTGTGATATTAAAATAATGATTTTTACCTGCATCACCTCTTACATATACTGGATATAACGGCCATGATTCTGGTGCTTTAGATTTAGACATAACATAACTATCTAATTTAAGTCGTGACTTTGTGTTGTACGGAGGAGGCATAAACTTGCATACACAGGCATGTAACTTTTCATCAAATGTTACCCATTTGGATGGAACACAATCGATAGAAATCGTACCATTATCCTTCTCGTTAACAAATTCAACAATTTGATAAGCTTTGACGTTCACTAAAACGGAAATCACACGTGAAGTGTTATCTTCCATACACACACCTTAAAATTAATTTATTTACTACGTATTTTTTGGTGATAATTTTATTGAATTCTCAAATGACTAAAATATGATAATTCATACTTATTTGTCTTCGTTTCACAACACTTTGATGTATTATTATATTGTAGTTTTGTAATTGATAATATATTACTAGCGAATCGCGAAATGTTGATCACAATGCATGCCCATACGGCCATAACAGACTATACAAACGACGATCGCGCGGGAACCAGGCTCTCTACTCGAGCCTCGGCATTTAAGCTGTCGATCGCGCACGTGACGCTGCGCTCAGGAGTGTCCCCATATCAGAAATATCTTGGAAGCGTATCTGTAGCTAAATTACCGACGAGTATCTCGCCGGTAGCCAAATTATTATTGAAAGATGTTTATTATTAAACAATTTTTTTCTATTACCATCAAATTTTCTATTATTAATTTATTCATTATATGTTCCATAATGATGTACTTATATCTTAACGTAATTTTCTAATAAATTACGGTAATGTATAATGTTTCGATCAAAATGTTATATATTATCATAATTATGTTATATATTAGAAAATTTTTAGGAGAGAGATATATAAGTTTGGAACAACATAATGAATAAATTAATAATAAAAAATTTAATGTTAATAGAAATAAATTATTTAATAAAGAACGTATTTAAACAATCATTTGGCTGAAAGTACGTTCCCAGTATATTTCTGATATAGCAACGTTCCTGAGCCACAGCGTCACGCGCGTGATCGGCAGCTCGCATAATGCCGGTATTACACTAGCTATTGGAGAAAAATTTATTTGACCTTGACCTGACCTTGGTGGCGC